GCTGGGCTAGCAGGGGGCTGCGGGTCGGGAGTGAGGGGCACCGGCAGGGCTATTTATTAGGAAACTTTCATTGGAAGAAACTGGCTTTCAAAGCTGCTTTGCTCCATGGGATAAATTAATCACTGCGCCGGTTCTAGATGCCTGGAGAGTTTCCACTGGATTCCTGACTGGAGCCAATTAAACAGGGAATCCGAGTTTTTCTGCGAAAAGATAGTTGAGAAATCACCTTTCATCTGGGCCTCGGATCCACCCCCCAAGCTCCCTGAGCCAGCCAGTCCCCACCCTGGGGCCAGATCGGAGCCAGCGCCCCCTAGAGGGGAAAGGCCCTGTGCCCCATTCCCTGCCCCCCTGAGCCAGCCAGTCCCCACCCTGGGGCGGGATGGGAGCTGGCGCCCCCTAGCGGGGAAAGGGCCCATGTCCCATTTCCCAAAACTCCCGTGTTTGCGTGATATCCTCTCTGCTGGAGGATGTGCCACTGTCTGTTTCCATCTGTTGGTTTCTATCAGACAATGTGGTGTGGTCCGGAGGAACAGCTCCTTCCCGTGAAGGCCGAGGAAGCAGCTGGAAGGCCGGGAGGGAGAGATACGCACGGGTTAGGAGGGGCCAGACAGGAATGTGGGGCGGGGCTGGCACTGGAAGGGAGCCAGGTGACACCCCGCCCAGCTGGCAGGAAAGAGGATCGGTGACAGTCAAGATACCAGTAAAAGAAGTGACCCCACTCTGCTCCCAGAGCCGAGAGAGAACCCAGGCGTCCTGGCTCCCAGCCCCCCCGCTCTAACCACTAGACCCCACTCCGCTCCCAGAGCCGGGAGAGAACCCAGGCGTCCTGGCTCCCAGCCCCCCTGCTCTAACCACTAGACCCCACTCCCCTCCCAGAGCCAGGGAGAGAACCCAGGAGTCCTTGCTCCCAGCCCCCCCTGCTCTAATCACTAGACCCCACTCCTCTCCCAGAGCCAGGGAGAGAACCCAGGAGTCTTGGCTTCCAGCCCCCCACTGGTCTAACCACTAGACCCCACTCCCCTTCCAGAGCCAGGGATAGAACCCAGGAGTCCTGGCTTCCACCCCCCCTGCTCTAACCACTAGACCCCACTCCCCTCCCAGAGCCGGGGATAGAACCCAGGAGTCCTGGCTCCAAGCCCCCGCTCCACTTCAAGCCCTCTCACCGGGGCTCTGTATCTCTGTTTCAGACAAGGTGAAGGTGACCCTGATCTTGGGGGACATCAGTAGCCCCACTGACGTTGGGGCTGCCGTGAAGGGGGCGGACGTGGTGATCCACGCAGCCAGCTTGGTGGACGTGTGGGGCAGGGTCCCGCCCGAGAAGATCACGGAGGTGAACGTTCACGGTACGGGAAGTGGCTGGGGCTGGGGCAGCGCACGTCGCTAGGGGGCGCTTTGCTGCAGGGAGCTCGGCCGGGGGCGCTCTCCCCGGGCAGCCAGCGTTCCTGCCTCGCTCCCGATAGCGCCCCCTGCTGGCTGTGGAGTAGCCGGGAACACCCTCCCCCCAACAGCCAACACTCCCTTCAGGCTGAGCCTGGGACTGCAACCCTGAATGTCTCCTCTCCGTTCCCGCTCCTCCGAGCGATCTCTGCTGCTCTTGGCTCGGGCCGTCTGTCCCGCTTCCAGGTTTCCGCTGGAAAAGCCCTGAGCTTCGGAAAATCCCTCCCACGCAGCCAAGGGACTGAAGAGGGAAGCGGCTGCAGGTGATGCCTCTGCCAGCTGCTTACCAAACACAAGTCACGCTACCGGGTGGGTGAGTGAATCCGGGGGGACCCACTAGGCATGTCCTGGCTACCACATGAGCCTGATCCACCTCTTCTGAGTAACAGCCAATGATTCCAGAGCTGGAGAATTTAGGTGCAGAAGGGAAACTGAGGTACAGAGCTAGGGTAGAGTCCTGGCTCCCAGCCCCCACTCCCCGGCTGCTCCGGCACCTGGGGCAGGGGTTGGGTTGCAGAGGAGAAGGCTCTCCCGCCAGGCAGAGTTGGGAGTGCTCAGATACCTGATTAACCCCTTGTTTTCCTCTCCCCCCACCTCCAGGGACCAAAAACGTGATTGACGCCTGCATCGAGCATGGGACCCAGTATCTGATCTACACCAGCAGCATGGAGGTTGTGGGCCCCAACACCAAGGGGGATCCCTTCTACAGGTACCCAGGCGCCTGGCTTCCCCTGCTCTAACCACTGGACCCTGCTCCCCTCCCACAGCCAGGGAGAGAACCCAGGAGTCCTGGCTCCCAGCCCCCCTGCTCTAACCCACTAGACTCCACTCCCCTCTCAGAGCCGGGGAGAGAACCCAGGCGTCCTAGGAGTTAAAGGCCCTCATCCTTAGGAAGGAACAATCAGTTGCACACGTGCAAAACAGGAAATGACTGCCTAGGAAGGAGAACTGCAGAAAGGGATCTGGGGGTCAGAGTGGATTACAAGTTAAATATGAGTCAACAGTGTAACGCTGTTGCAAAAAAGCAAACATCCTTCTGGGCTGTATTAGTAGGAGTGTTGTAAGCAAGACACGAGAAGTAATTCTTCTGCTCTACTCCGCGCTGATTAGACCTCAACTGGAGTATTGTGTCCAGTTCTGGGCGCCACATTTCAGGAAAGATGTGGACAAATTGGAGAAAGTCCAGAGAAGATGAAGAAAAATGATTCAAGGTCTAGAAACCATGAGCTGTAAGGGAAGATTGAAAGAATTGGGTTTGTTTAGTTTAGAGAAGAGAAGACTGAGAGGGGACATGAGAACAGTTTTCAAGTACATAAAAGGTTGTTACAAGGAGGAGGGAAAAGAATTGTTCTTCTTAACCTCTAAGGATAGGACAAGAAGCAATGGGCTTAAATTGCAGCAAGGGAGGTTTACGTTGGACATTAGGAAAAACTTCTTAACTGTCAGGGTGGTTTAACACTGGAATAAATTGCCCAGGGAGGTTGTGGAATCTCCATCATCAGAGATTTTTAAGAGCAGGTTGGACAAACCCCTGTCAGGGATGGTCTAGATCAGCGGTTCTCAAACCTTAACAACCCGCAAACCCCCTTTCACGAAAATATCAACTCTTGCGAACCCCCTCCTAAAAATGAATCTTTCCAGGGATTTTCTCCCTTACCTGAGCATAAATGATAGAAGCAGTGAGCTTGGAAATAATGTGGTACGCGGATTACACACTATTTGTGATTACAGTATTATTGATCATTCCATT